AAGGCAACACTAACCGGGCTAAACCTTACCTTACTAATCCTATTGAGGCAAAGAAAAAGCCTCGCTTACTAACAAATTGAGTTCTGCATTAAATTGAGTTGTAGTTAAATGAAAACTCAGCTTCATTGGGATGAAAATATTTTTCTTTTCCCGTGGACCAACAACTATGGCTTCTTAAAAAATACTTAGAAATAAGAGTATTAACTAGCCGCAAAGATCTTTGCCATTTACTGTTCGTATAACATGTTTAACTTTTTATCTTTTGGGATATTTTAATTTTCACGATATATACTATTAGTGCATAATTTGGCCTTGTTACTAAATTTTGTAACATAATCTGATAATTACAATGATGCCACTTTTTGTCGTTAATATCTTCTGCCTATGTTAAGTGATCTGTTCTGACTATTTTTTTTCTGTCCTTAATTCTTTCCATTGACGGTGTTTTTCTGGGTTTATTGTTCAATAAAATCCAGACACTTTCTCTCTGCTTCTGGTGCCTCTGTGGTCATATAGCAATTGAAATATAAATAGAGCATCTTTTTGCAATCTTGCTGTGTTGAAAAGCTTCTTTTCTGTCTTATGTATCAATGATGAATTCAACCACGTGGATTAAGTAGAGGTTGGACAGTGGGTGGCACTCAGATTGACTTACATGATCCACGACTTCTTGCAATGGCTGCCGCTGAACGCCGTCTTCTAGACGCTGACTATGATGAATATGCTGATTCAAATGCTAGTGGAGCTGCATTTTGTCGTTCTGCTGCTTTAATAGTAAGCAACTGAAGCTATATCATGTAGTTCCATTGCATGGCAAACTTTCTTTTGCTAAGTAGTGGCAAATAGTAATGTTGGGCATGCATTAGAATGGTTCCTCTGGCTAGTATATACATGAATGGATAGAAAAGCTTCTCTTGACAGGAGGGTGGGAGTAACCTTGGTAGTGTGATACATGAATTTCATGTTAAGCTTTGTAATGGTAATTTAGGAATAGACTTCAGAGTGAAATTGAATTGGTTATAGAATTTTACCAAGGATGCATCTTTCAGCTCGTCTCATCGATTTTCATCGTATTGGAGTCATATTTTAGTATTGATATGTAAGAGAAAAAGTTATTTATCAAAAAAAAAAAGAAGATATTAACTCATCCACCCTTTTTCTATATAATTCTATCCTGGTGTTGGTTATTTACACACTCATGCTTGTCTTTCAAGATTCTCCCTGCAAGTTGTTGAAATGGTTTCTTGGTGGAGCTCATGCTTTTGTTCTCCTCTTCTCCTTCTATTACTCTTCTTATTTCTTGTGCTGCTTTTCTTCTGGTTGTCCAATTGGATCAGACATGAGAATTAGTTTCTTGCCTAAATATATTGAAGATTTTTGCGGTACGGCATGTAGCCCTACGTGTTTATGGATGTCAAAACCTGTGGATCTTCATGACAAAGTTTTGTTTTAAATCTTCTTACTTTGTTTGCTCACCTTATTGAATGATGCACTCTGTTTTCCTGCAGTTAATGGCCCTTCTGTTATTGAGGCATGCTCTGACCATTGGAAATGCTGATGAGGATGAGGATGATGTTTCCGTTTTTTTCTCCGTAAGTAGTACAAGGAATATTATTTCTGTTTGTTAGTTTCTAAGATGAGTTTATGACATACTGTATACTCTATGGTAAGGAGTGTGGGACTAATGATCTGGTTGATCCTTGACACAGCTTTTCCTACTCCGTGCTGCCGGTTTTCTTTTACCTTGTTACATTATAGCTTGGGCTATCGGTATATTGCAGCGTCGCAGGCAAAGGCAGGTTAGTGACTTTTTTCTGCTTTTTAAGTAACTTCTGTGACTATATTACTCCCTCCCTCATTCCTGTTTGACTGGACATGGAGTTTAAGAAAAAAAGAAAGACTTTTGAAACTTGTAGTTTGTACCAAGACATAGACATTTGTATGGCTAAAATCATCTCATTAGGGGGGTAAATGAGAAGTTTATAGTTAAATTATTTCCAAATATAAGAATGTATCATTCTTTTGGGACAGATTTATAAGGAAAGTGTGCCACATAAAATGGGACAGAAAGAGTTAACATTTGTCTTCATATTTGCACATTTAAGTGATACTTTATGTTCATGCACAATGTGTAAGTCTTATGCTGCAAATCCCTTGGTGTTTTCTGCTTTTCTTGTGGTGGTAATTGTTGATTAGTTGCTATATTTATGCACACTTGTAAGTTTTTATAATACATGCTTTTTCCAAGCTTAACCAACTATTTTGATTTCCATCTTTGGCTATTTATAAAAGTCCAACTTTCATGGATGAAATGTACATTTAATTATTTTTTCTTTTCCTAATAAGTCTTTGTCACCTTTACAATTCTTTAACTTCCAAAGAATTCAAAATCTAAGTTGGCCCTGTCCTTTTTTTCTTTAAAAATTTTCTCCATTAAGTATTAAACACGTTCAGCTTATTGATAGTGATGGAAATAACAGTAGGCAAGTGGTTATATACATTGTGGAAGTTACTGAATGGCCATCTTGAGCATGAGAATGACATCACTACTACTTTCAATATGCAAGTTTTGAGGTTCCGCTGTGATTTCAGGACTCCATTTTCACTACTGGTTAAGTTGAATTAATAAGGATCAGAGAATGTCATTTTGTCATGATAAAAAATTATGGAAACTAATAGCAGGTTCAACATTTGAGAATATTGGTTGTGTTCGACTTGCAGTGTAACCAACATTTGGGTCCCGTTTCTTGTAGACACTTAAAAGTTATATGTAGCATTTTTCCTTACTAATTACATGACTCATCTAAAGGTTAGTTTCTTA